GGATCACAGAACATAAAAAGAACTTTAGACTCTGGAAATATATTGTCAGTCACTTTCCAAAGGAATAGCACGAGTTTTTACTGCTGTCAATGGTGTGCAACTGTGTGTACTTTTATCATATTCTTGCCATCACTGGCTTTTAAAAATTATTCTTCTTCCATGTGGATAAGAATGATGTATGTCAGAGGAAGTCAAGATCTTATTGGGAATTTAGTAAAAAAAAAAAAAAAACTTTAAAAATATAGATAGAGACCTTGCTGGACCATGGTGGCAGCCTCCACTCTCTTCCCACCCCACCCCACCCATGCCACCCACCTGTGTATAGCCTCCAAAGCTCTTCTGTAATATAAAACATAAACTGTCATTCATTTTTCTGCTTATATAACAATCGCCAACATTTATTGAGTGTTTGTTATGTAGCCCTAATTCTAAGTACTTTGTATACATTGACTAACCTATTCCTCACAGCAGCCCTGGGAGGTAGTCAGTGTTGCTGTTATCCCCATTTTACAAATGACAGACCTTGGGCACCAAGTGCTGGTGCCCGCAGAGATGCAGAGGGTGTGCGTGGCAGGCTGGCATTTGATCCCTGGGACTCGCACTTACCTAAGAGGCGATCTTGCTTGAAGCCTAGTCACAGCCTTCGGGGCTCCTGGCCTTTGGTGTCCACCCTCCTGCCTCTCCACTCCCTGCCACAGACCCTGTGCTCTCACTGTGCTCAGGCCTCTGTCCTTCAGCCTCGCTGCATGTGCCCAGGCCGTGGTGCTTTCTTAAACTTCATGCTACCTGACTTGTAACCTGCTTGGAGAACTTCAGTTCACCAGTCACTTCCTCTTGCCCGGTCACTTCCTCTTGCATGTTTTCTCTCTCAGTAAGGCCTTTGCTAACCTCCCTTCCACCCCACCCCAACCTACAGATCTAGCATTTCCCTCTACCTTGCCCCCATAAGGCTTTGCATGTACTTGGTTATAGAACCTGCAAAATCACATAAGGTGCTTACCTATTCAGCTATAATGTCAATTTCATCCTTCTTTGTAAATAAACTTTTCATTTTAGATTGGTTTTAGATTTACAAAAAATTGCAAAGATGGTACCGAGGTAGCGTTTGTCAGGTCTCTCCACTATGAACTTACCCTTTCCCCACATCCCATACTTTGTGGAAGGAGGTCACTGTGCAGCCCACCCTTAAGGAGCAGGTTAGCTGTGCTCCTCCTCCATGACAGCAGAGTGTCTACATACATTATTCGAAATTCTGCACGGGAGACTTACTTCTCTTCTGCATTTATTTATTTAATCATTTCTTTATATCAGTATGGACTCATGGATATTTATTTTATGCTTTAGGTTATCATCAGTACTACGCTATTTATCTTGTTGCTGAAATTATTCCAGCTTTGGCCATTGGGAGCTCTTTCAGTTGGCTCCTGTGTCCCTTTGACAAAGTCCCATTGTTGCTTTTTTTGGCTTTTTGTTTTTTTCTTTTTTAGCACTTCCTTACTGTCTGGCACTACAAGATATTCCAGATTCATCTTGTGTATTTCCTGCCCTAGGCCTAAAATCAGCCATTTGTCTAAGAAGCCCTGGCTCCTTTTACTGGAAGAATGGTATTAGAAACCAAGACCTAGGTGTAATCCTAGCACTGTGGGAGGCCAGGGCGGAAGGATCGTTTGAACTCAGGAGTTCGAGACCAGCCTGAGCAAGAGCGAGACCCCATCTCTACTAAAAAATAGAAAGAAATTAGCTGGACAACTAAAAATATGTAGAAAAAATTAGCCGGGCATGGTGGCACATGCCTGTAGTCCCAGCTACTTGGGAGGCTGAGGCAGGAGGATCGCTTGAGCCCAGGAGTTTGAGGTTGCTGTGAGCTAGGCTGACGCCACAGCACTCTAGCCAGGGCAACAGAGCCAGACTCTGTCTCAAAAAAATAAAATAAAATAAATAATGTTTATGCCATGTACTTCCCCCAAATGTGACTTCATTAATTCAGCCATGTGGCCAGGGTATCCTTAGATCAATGAAGATTAAATATAAAACCACTTTCTTGAACAACGTGCTAGCAGCAGTGAATAAGGCGTGGGTGTGGGAGGTTTTCAGAAGAAGCTTACCACGAAGGATGCTGTATGTGCTATTGCCAACACTTGGAACACGGTGACTGAAGACTCAATTATCCATGCCTAGCACAACTCTGGTCTGCAACTGTGTTCAGTGATGATGTTGAACAGGATGGTAACTTTGAAGGATTCCGTATGTCTAGTGAGAAAAAATGATGTCTGACCTCCTTAGGTATGCAGAACATATACCTTCAGAGTCCATAAGCAAGTTGGAAGAAGTGAATATTGAAGTTTTTACATCGAAAATAAGGTTGTTCATTTACCAATCAATAGTGAAACAGCTGAAATGGTTCTGAATCAGGGTGATCATGATAATAATGACAATGATGATGTTAAGGCTACAGAGGAAGTACCTACAGATGACATGGCGAAAATGCGTGACAGGCTTAGAAGGACAAGAGAGCGTGCATTCATGCAGAACAAGAAGTCATGTCAGTTGATAGAATCCAAGAGAGACTTGTAAGAAAAACCTTTGTTAGAGGCAGATGACTCTGGAGGAAACATTTTTAAAAGCCGTCCCGCAGAATGCCTCCTTATCCCTAGAGGACATACTTCCTGGTCCCTTGACGACTACTGATGTTTATTCTCAACTAAAAAAATAAAATACAGTATGCAGTGACCTTTTAATCAAAACACAGCATCGTAGGTGGAGACTAAAAGCCTATTGCCTCTGTTGTTTAACAGCCGAGACAGGGACTATGGTGATGCTGCCAGGCCGCTTAGTTGCTCTGAACACACAGTCAGGAGTGGTGGTGACTCCAGACACCCACAGGTCATCCACATGGCTGGCTGAGATAGGCACCTTTAAAAATATTGTATAAAATTACCTTCAGGCTATGTGTATAAGGTATATATGAAACATAAATGAATTTTTGTTTAGACTTAGGTCCCATCCCCAAGATACCTCATTATGTACATGCGAATATTCCAAAATCTGGGAAAATCCAAAATCCAAAACACTTCTGGTCCCAGGCATTTAAGATAAGGCATACTCAACCTGTGTTACATTTTCAGAGGCTTCTCAGCCCTAAGGAATGCTTTGAGCCCTCCTCTGTTACACCCCATTCCACAAACATCCTAGTTCATCAGCATGTTACTGACTGATTAAGATCAGAGTTAAGGATCAGATCCTGTGCTCCCGTCCTGCTACGTTCAGAACTGTGCGAGTGCGAGTGTGTGGTGGTTCTTAGGCTTCAAATGGGCAGAATGTGACTTGGGAACAAAGCGGACTTATTCACCAGTTTCCACCGTGAAGCCCAAGTTCTAGAGCAGAGCTCCCCAGCTAGTGCATGAGGAGTAGGCTACAGAAGACAGAATATCTGACCTACCTCCCCACCCCCAGCCTTCAAGGTGCAGACAGTGCCCAAGGCCTTGGACCATTTGCCTCGGGCAGTGAGCATCCTGTCCAGATGTCCCACGTGCCATAGAAGCATTGTCCTTTTCATGCATGCCACGAGCTGCCACAGCTTGGTGAACCCGGCCCTGCCAGTCCAGGGAACTCAGAGGGGCTTTTGATCCTTCTCTGGTCTTCTGTGCAGTCTCTCCATAGCATGCACTTTGTGTGCTCACTTCGCCCCTGGCTCCACCTTCTCCTTTTGCCTCAGTTTCCTTATGCAGTTCATGCAGGTGATGTAGGCAGAGGCCTAAAGAGTCAGTCTGGGTTTGAATCCTGGGTCTTTGTCTCATTGCATCTTAAGCAGAAAACTATTTAACCTGTCTTGGCTTCATCTTCTTCATCTGTAAAATGGATCTATTAATATGATAGTGGTACTTACCTCATAGACCATTGTTAGTAATAAACAAGATACTATACGTAGACTTAGCACAGTGCCTGGCACATAGTAGGTGTTCAACAAATATTAGCTATTAAAATATCCTCACCATTTGAACTTTTGAAGCTTCTCATTCTGTTTGACATGAGGTTGAGAGGAAGGGAGACCCCAAATTAAGTTAAATCTTACAGATGGTTTCTACCCGTTGCAGTGAGTGTTCTTTTTACTGTCCCATCCTAGGGTATGAAGGTGAATTCTAGGCTGCGTGAGGCCTCCCACCTCGAAGCTCTTTGACCCTGTAGCAGCACAGCAGTAGCAAAGCTCTGGGTGTGTTGGGTGGGACGGGGTGGAGTGGCTGGAGTGAGCTTTGCACGTTTGCAAGGAGGAGCCACTGGTTGTGAGTTGGTGAGGCCACCGTGCCTGCAAGTGGCTGCCTAGAGCCCCTGAGCTGGGCCACCTGCTGCTTTGTAGTTCTGACTTTGTCTCTTTCCAACTCTCGCCCATTCTCCTGTTCCCAGGAAGAGGGGAGGAGGAGGATTTGGGGACAAGTTGTCTTTGTACTCTGCTTTTGGCCAGCTCAGCCGCACTCAAGAGCTGCACGTGGGGTGGTAAGGATGGAGGTGGGGTGTGGTTCTGGGACTCTGGGGAAGAGCCAGGAAGCTGGCATATTTGCTGTGGGCAGAGCCCTCTACTACACAGTTTTTGAAAATCCTTTTGCCTACTGCAGTGAGAACTTGAGACTTCAGGAATGCTGTCAGCCAAGCATTACATGCAGAAGAGCTGAGGGCGGGGAGTCACCTGCCAAGGTGGCAGACATTGTAGGTGGTAGGAGCCATATAAAATGCAGCAGGGCCTGATTTATGGGGTGTCATTTGTGTGTGCTACTGGACCTTTTGGTAAGGATGGGGTGCACCTGTCAGCAGTGGTAGATCAATTCTGTGACCCACCCTGACTTCCCAAGGAACAGCTTTGGGGCCTGGTGGGCATGAGGCCACCTCTGTCCAGGAACAGGTAGTTCCTAATTTTCCGTCAGCGCCCCTCCTTCTTTAAGGCGCCCTTGACTCTCCGAGCAGATTTATACGTCTGTGATCTGAATCTGAATGTTGTGTGGTTACAGGATCCAGCCAGGCCCAGGAGCAGCGGTCTGGTAGCTCTGAGGAGGCGTCTGGAACGGAGGAGGAGGAAGAGGAAGACGAGCCCAGCTTCATCATGGGGCGATGACCAAGTCTGCCGCCACAGCTGTCCAGAGCCTGGCTCGTGCTGTGCGCAGAGGGAAAGGAGGCCCTGTTTGACTCAGCTTCCCTCCCAAGGACCCCCTGGATAGAGAGCAAATGGGACCCTTCTGAGCTGCTCCAGGTCCTGCCTGTGAGCGGGACTTGGAGCCTGTGGAGGACGCAGCGCCTCCTGGACACTTGAGGGCGCCACCTGCCAGAGCTCATCCACGTGCCTGCCGAAAGGGGACAGTGCCCGGCCTGCTGCTGCCAGCGCCTGTTCTCACATATTTCAACGGTGATGAGTTTGGGGCTGGTTTTTGTGAAGGGAACATTTACTTAGTAAAGGACAGAGAACCTTCAGGCTTTGTTCAGACATGTGAAACACGAATTACAAACACTGCAGGGAAGGCTGTGAGATGACACTATCGCAGCGGGGCCTCAAGAGTCAACAGGCTGTTACCTCGAACTGTTCCCTGACTTGGTGAAGGAAATGGCCTTGGCTTGGGGGCTGAACCACGTTGCTGGGCCCCTGACCCCTGTTCCTTTCAACAGGGAGCGCGGGCCAGGGACTTTCACCAGGCTGGGCCACAAGAAGGGAACCTGGTGTGTGAAAAGAGCTGCGGGGGAGATAGTCGGTGACTAGGAAAATAAGCAGGAGGAGAATCGGCCGGGCTGAGCCAGAGTGGAGGGCACAGGGACTTCTAGCCCAGCTGCGGGGGTGGGGGGGGACTGTCAGCCAAAAGCTGCGTTTCATGCCAAGGTCAAAGGGGGTCTAAACAGTAAAGGGGCCAAGAGAGACTTGACTTGAGCAGGTGGCAGAACCCTGCATGACTGAAGCCTTTGGGGCTTTCCACTGGGTCACCAGAGCTGGGGATGTGGGTGCAGAACTTGGGCTGTGTGTCCTAGAGTGAATGCAGCCCCAAACCAACTTCCACAGGCCAGGGAGGAGCCGGTCAGCCTTTGACCTTTGCCCTCAGGTGCTTCCAGGCCAGCAGGGGCAATAAAGATAGTTTCTAATTAGAGTCTTTGCTCCATTTTTGGATAATTTATCTCAACTCTAAGGTCCTAAGTATTAATATATTTTGTGCCTTTTATACACTTTGATGAAATTAAGGAAATAGTGGTTTTGAGTGAAGGGAAACCAAGAAACATTTTACTTTTACTTCCCTAGTATAGATTTCCCTGACCCCACTCTGAGTGACATCTATGATAACTTCTGTCCCTTCAGACGTTCAAGTCACAGGAATTTTTTCCCCCAGGAAGCTGAAATGGAGAGTCAGTCCTAATAAATTAGCACACACCCTGCCCGTGCATTTTGAAACCTGTGTTTCTCTTTTGTCAGGGACCAGCTGGTTAGTTGTGTGTTTTGTTCTTAGTTCCCCTGTCTTTGGACTGTTTCTATACCTCCCCCATGTGTCACAACTCTTACTTTGAGTCTGCACCTGGAGCTCGTGGGCATTCTCTTGTACGCCTAGGATGTCGAGGGTGCCAGAGCTTGCAGACCGGAAGCTTGGGTTTCAGTCCTGATGCTGTGTCTGCCAAGTCAGGGTGCTATGGACAGGTCCCTCCTGCCTCTGCCAGTTTACTTGGCAGATGTGTGTTGGCTGGATGGACAAATGACTAAAAGATCAGCAGGATGCCAGGACAGAGGCTGATGTTTTATACCCTTACTAGATTTCAGAAGATGATGTTTAGGCAGGATATGTCTTGTAGCAGTTTCAGACTTCTGTTTTTTTTTTTTTGAGACAGGGTCTCGCTCTGTTACCCAGGCTAGAGTGTAGTGGTGTGATCACAGCTCATAGCAACCTCAGACTTCTGGGCCCAAGCAATCCTCCTGCCTCAGCCTCCTGAGTAGCTAGGACTACAGGTGCGAAACCATGCCTGGCTAATTTTTCTGTTTTTAGTAGAGATGGGGTCTCACTCAGTTTGGACTTGGAACTCCTGGCCTCAAGCAATCCTCACACCTCAGCCTCCCAAAGTGCTAGGATTACAGGCTTGAGCCATCGCACCTAGCCATTTTTTTTTTTTGACACAGGGTCTCGCTCTGTCACCCGGGCTAGATACAGTGGCCTCATCATAGCTCACTGCAGCCTCGAACTCCTAGGCTCCAGCAATCCTCCCACCTCAACCTGAGTAGCTGGGACTACAGGCACGTGCTACCATGCCCAGCTAATTTTCCTACTTTTTGTAGAGACGGAGTCTCACTTTGCCCAGACTGGTCTTGAACTCCTGGCCTTGAGTGATCTTCCTGCCTTGGCCTCCCAGAACATTAGGATTACAGGCGTGAGCCACCATGCTTGGCTGGTTTCTCACCCTTTTTTTTTTTTTTTTTTTGAGACAGAGTCTCACTCTTTTGCCCAGGCTAGAGTGCTGTGGCGTCATCCTAGCCCACAGCAACCTCAAACTCCTGGGCTCAAGCGATCCTCCTGCCTCAGCCTTCCAAGTAGCTGGGACTACAGGCATGCGCCACCATGCCCAGCTAATTTCTTCTATATATTTTTAGTTGTCCGATTAATTTCTTTCTATTTTTAGTAGAGACGGGGTCTCGCTCTTGCTCAGGCTGGTTTTGAACTCCTGAGCTCAAACGATCCACCCGCCTCGGCCTCCGAGAGTGCTAGGACTACAGGCGTGAGCCACCGCATCCGACCAGTTTCTCACCATTTTTAAGGGGTCATCAGTACCTTAGGTTGAATGACTCTGTCTTTGTTCAAGATGTTAATTTGTTTGGGAAAAGAGGAACAAACAGATGGCACTGAGAAGGGAGTGGGTGATACTGAGAGCCCCTTCCCCCCAAAAAAGCCACGATTAGGGGAGAATCGTGAAGTAATGCCCTTGTTGATGGCTCGAGGGTGGGGAGAAGTCTGGAACTGAACGCAAAGGTGTATATAACATGACTTGGTTGTTCAGAAAACCTCATGTATAAGAAGGCTGATTTACCGGACAGGGTAGCCTTCTGTGATTCATTCACTTAACTCAACAGACATGCACTGAGCTTTTCCATATGACAGCCTGCGTCAGGCCTCATTATTTCTATTAGAATACTCTTTGTCCCTCAATTACATTCCCCCTAGGATTGGCTAGACAAGATTTATAAACACAGAGAGGTCTGGAAACTTGCCCAGGAGACCCAGCAAGTAAGTGGTAGAGTTGGGATTTGAACCCAGACATGTGACTTCAGCATCTCACGTACCTACTCTGAGGGGAAGCTGTGCGCAGCCCAGGCTTGGCAGGGAGGGGTGCCCAGGTGCTTCTCGTTTGGTACCAGGGCTGTGGGCTGCAGGCGCTTCCTTTAATGAGCTCTCTGGTACATCGGGGGCTGTGTGTGTGCATAATAATAGCATATCATAAAATAGTTTTAAGTATAGTTGATCCTCATTCATAGATTCCATATTTGTGAATTTGCCTGTTCACTAAAATTTATTTGGAACCCCAAAATCAATATGGTGCTTTTACACTCATTTACAGACATGTGGAGAGTATCAAAAAATTCAAGTGACACATATATATGTTCCCAGCTGAGATTGATGGAGGCGACCCTCTGCTTTCTTGTTTCAGCTCATACTCTAAAATCCTTTTCATGGTCTATTTAGTGTCCAGTTTTTGGCATTTTTTTTGCTTTTTCTTGGTGATTTTGCTGTTTAAAGTGGGCCCCAAGCATAGTGCTGAAGCGCTGTGCAGTGTCCCTGAGAGCAAGCAGGCTGTGATGTGCCTTATGGAGAAAGTATGTGCATTAGATAAGCTCTGTTCAGGCTTGAGTTACGTGCTGTTGGCCCTGAGTCCAGTGTTTATGAATCAACAATAGATATTAAATAAGGTGTCTTTAACAGAAACACACACAAAACAAGGTTATGCATTGATCGGTTGCTGTAAATGTAATCAGCGGCTCGCAGGAACCTAACCCTACATTTCCCATAGGAACAATGGTTCAGTATTCACTAATGCACTGTTCATGGTGACTTTTTAGAGTATAACTACTGTGGCTAATGAAGATCAGCTCTGTGTGTGTGTGTGTGTGTGTGTGTGTGTGTGTGTGTGTGTGTATTGATAGGCAGTGAGAGTGCGTGAGCAAGCCTGGAATTACAGGGATAAGTGTTTCTTAACACAAGAAAATGGACCTTATTGCTCCTTGCCATGGCAACCTGGAGAATCCGGCAGCTGTACTGGTCAGTCCTACTTCGAGTATAGGACCAGAGCTGTCACACAGGAACCCAGCACTGGCTGCTGACCCTTGGACTCTCCCACCTTCTACATGGAGTCTTTGCACGTCCTCTCCCCTCACGGCCCACACGCACCTCCCAGCCCACAGCACCTGGGCTGCACTCTGCTTCCCTCCTGGTCCAGTGCAGGACAGTTCCTGCCTCAGTCTCCTGAACCTCTGGCTCACTCCCTGTGCTCTGGTGTCCCCCTGTGTGAAATAACAAAAGCCTGTCTCCATGTTCTCCTCTAGCCACCCCCTATTTCTCTCCTCCCCGTCTCACTTCTGCCCCTTCACCTCTTTTTTTTTTTTTTTTGAGACAGAGTCTCACTCTGTTGCCCAGGCTAGAGTGCCGTGGCGTCAGCCTAGCTCACAGCAACCTCAAACTCCTGGGCTCAAGCGATCCTCCTGCCTCAGCCTCCTGGGTAGCTGGGACTACAGGCTTGTGCCACCATGCCTGGCTAACTTTTTCTATTTTTAGTTGTTTGGCCAATTTTTTTCTATTTTTAGTAGAGACGGGGTCTCACTCTTGCTCAGGCTGGTCTCAAACTCCTGAGCTCAAGCAATCCTCCCACCTTGGCCTCCCAGAGAGTGCCAGGATTACAGGCGTGAGCCACTGCACCCGGCCTGCCCCTTCACCTCTTATCCCACTCCAAGTTTGCATCCCCATCCTCCTAGTCTTGCCAAATCCAGCCCCCTGGTGGCATTCTGTGCAGTTCTCCCCCTTCTCAGCATTCCTGCCAGTCCCCTCCCAGCTTGCCTTCTGTTCCTCTGCTCAGACTCTAACGCGCCAGGGTGACCTGCAGTGCTGCCTTCTGTCCTCTGTTACACTCAGGCCCCAGGAGCCTGTGGCTTTGACTTCCACCCTCACTGGTGCCTTCTGAGTCTGTCTGTGGCTTCGACTTCCCTTTGGAGCCCCAGACTCGTGTCCATCTGCCAATGTGGCATCTCCCCTTGGATGTCTCATGGGCACTGAGAGCTCAGTGTAAGAAGAACCCACATCTCAGTCCCTAAGCCTTTTCCTCCTCTGCCTCCCACCTTGGTAAATTGCACCGGTGCTGTCCAGTTCTTGAGCCCCTCACCTAGGAGTCAGGGTCAGCCTTGGTTCCTGTTTATCTCACCCCCTCCCCACAGCCACGCATCAGCAGGGCAGGGCTGCTGGCTCTTGAGGCTCTGCCCCGTCCCCCATATGCCCCCTGTGCACACCACCAGCAGCTCTGGCCTGCTCTGCCCCCAGCCCGCTCCCTACATGGCAGCCAAAGTGGCCCTTTAAAAACAGACACCAGATCTTGTCACCACTCTGTGCTAAGTCCCTGCTGGCTTCTCTCACACTTGGAATAGAACAGAGGTGCCAGGCCCTCCTGTCCGCCCCTGCCTCTTTCTCAACCCGCCTCCTGTGCCACCCTTACTCTTGCTCCCGAAGGCCTCATCTCCACACTCATACCTGCCTCAGGGAATCCACACGTGTTCTGCCTCCTCCTCTTAGGCCTCAGCTCAGGTGTCACCTCCTTGGAGAGGCCTTTCCACCCACCCACCACTGTCTGTCTGGACCTTTCACTCGTTCACTCATCTAGCCCCTGCCACCCCAGCACCCCACAGCCCTCAGCTCCCTGAGAGCAAGGACCACGCCTGTCCTGGTTCTTGCTGTATCCCTAGTGCCAGCACAGCTCTCGGGACGTAACTGATGCTCAGTAAATGTTGCTAAGTGACTGAGCCAATCCCAG